GGGGGGGTACGACGGTAGGAGGAAGCCGGGAGTCACTGGACACTGGACGAAACTGACCACCATTCACGTCACGTCACGAAAATCGCCCACAACTGCAAGACGTTCTGACCGCGTGAATGGCATGAACTGAAATGGCAGCAAATTTTTCTCAAACGGAAGTTTCTGTCATTAAGTTTCGTATTTCCTAAACGCAACTCAGAACAAATAAAATGAAAATAACAAAGGCTTATAAGCAGACGTTCACCCTCTAAGCTTATATCAGATCAAAAATTACTATATTAGGATAGCAGAGTGACTTTCTGTTGAAACTATTGCCCTCCAAGGTTTGACTCCAAGACAGAGAGGAAATCCACCGACGAAGATGACTTTGAATGGACGACATAAAGCAACAGAAAAAACTGACAATCATTCACAAGAAGATCGCGCAGTATTGAAAGAAATGAGGTGCAATTGGTGGTCATGTCTTCTACACTGGAATAGAGCAGATCTGAATGGGCTGTCCTCAAAGTATTTTTTTTTTCATAAAATGATTTTAAGAAAAGAAAGTTGAATGTAATAATGAGTTCATAGCGAATTGTCAAATTATATCGCACCTAGCCATCGAATGTGCGACCTACAGATTGAACTGAAATGATAATCCTATCCAATGCCTTCTAATCAGTCATTGAATACATTTTCAATTGAAGCCTTAAAATGGGATTTCTTCCAATGGTTCACAGCTAAACAAAGGAATCAATGATAATGTAAGAAATTCATACTGATTTAAAGAAATATTCAAATTTTTGATTATATGCATCAAAACGGCTGATTCGAAAAACTTTAAACTTAAAATTTACGGTTTATTCCGTATGTTGATTTTCAGACAATTATAAGGTTTTGAGGAAAATTTTGTTGTTTATCATAAATGCGTACATAAGTACAAAAGAATCGTTCTTGTAAGAGGAAGACTAGCTTAAAATGAAGAATACCGCTCAAAGCCTATGGCCATAGACTAGAAGGTTCCAAAACAAAAGCCTAACTAGATTTCTGGAAAGTACGAGATCTATAACCACCGTCTTTGAAGATGATGCACCTGCATATCTCCATCCCACCATGCTAGATGCATCTCATGTATCCTTTTTGTTTCCTAGAACCACTTCGTGGTTTAATGATATTTTAGGAGTTGCTACGTATGAACATCCATGCTTGTTACAACATTGGAGTATGTTACATAGTATACGATGTTTCCAATACGTCATAAAGCCGTAGCCTGCCTTAATGGTCTGCTGTGGCAACTAAGAGCAAGGGAGCGGTTCAATACGCCGTGAAATCTGGCCTTATGAAGGAGTTATGCATAATCTGGCATACTGGGACTACTAAAATACTTTGATGTTTATCAATAAGTCATTTTGAATCACACATGACCCTTCTTTATGAAGTAATATGAAAAGTAAAAAAATTTATTTGTCTCATTGATTTTTACTGTCTGCTGACAAGTCAAGACAGTCCTATCCGAAACATCTGACATATTGTATGAAAGGAATGGATGTGTGGATGGACTTAAATAAGAGGTGGTCTTAAATAAATGGACACTTCAATGGTTCTAAATATAAGAAAACAGACAGATTATGGTCTTTAATATAAATGTCGATGATTCAGCTAAAGTGCATTTTCTACTAGCGACAATCGCTTATAGCAGTTATGAAGAAGACTACCATTTGTCTGTTTGCGAAGTGGAAATTTATTAAAGAACACAGAGTCGAACTGAGTTCCAGAAAATACGTAGTCTTGAAAGGTCTCAAGAATAAGTGATTACGAGTAACAGTGGTGTGTGCCCTTAGAATGTATGTCCTGACGGTAGACACTGTGATAACCGTACGAAATGACGCTTTAGGATAAAGCATAATCTTTCCACTGTGAATTTTCTTTCTGCCTATAGTCATTGAATCAGAAAACTTTTTTTCTGAAGACCGTCCATGACCATAAATGCTCGTTTCACCTCGATTCTATGCCCCATATGTCATAGAGTTGCTGGCATGCAATTCGACGGTTTTAGACGCAGAGCAAACGTTGATGTTAAAATACGCTTGACGAATTATTGCCAACATTTCAGCCGCACAGCAGTGGCCTTCCTTAAGACAAAAGACGTAAGCGATGCTGTTACTGTAACATCTTTCGTTTTTGTTTTGAGGATGGTACGGTATCATGTCATGAAGCCACCTTATACCACCTGCAACCTTATTTGATCCTCTGTTGGATGGAAGGTTCTCGAAGATGTTGCCATGAGCTGCTGTTTTGTCTAATCCATACCCTTCTTGATGCAACAAACCTTTAAAGCTCATCTTGCCATCGGTTTAAAGTTCTTCCTACATGCCGTTTGCTGTTTTTGAAAGAGCTCAATGTCTCTCTGATCCAGTGACGATCGACTTATCTTGCAACGTGTCCTGCCCATTGCTAGTTTAACTTCTTCACTCAGGCAGTAGCATCGTGGACTCATGCTTGTACCTCCTTCATTCATGTCTTCCTATTTATTCGTGTTATTCTCAACATATACCTTCCGATGCTGTGTTTCCAATAGGTTTCAATTTTCAGAGTTCACGCTTCACATCTGCACGCTGGCACTTGCAGTGTGAAACGTTCAGTAACAAGCAAAACAGCACTTTCCATGTAAAGACATTTCCAATCTTCCACAAGTGCTCCAAGTCAGCTTCGGAGTCCAGTCGGTTACGAGAAATGAGTTGTTCAAAATAGACGAATTCTTGCACCTCGCCAGCCTTCTCTCATGCTGGCACCGACGCCATACGAATTTCAAGTTCTTGTCCGTCAACGCCATAACAACTACCAGAAACTACCGTATTTCATTAAGCATGGAAACGGACCAGAAACAACTTATCGGCGAAAGATCTGCTCTCACCGGTATGCAGATGAGGTTGGAACGAGTCGCAAGGCATGGAGGATGCCAATTAGCACTGTTTTGTGAGTACTCTTCTTTGTTTAAGAGTCTGTTGATGCAACGAACTATTCTCGTAACTAGTGTCAATCATTGATCACATAAGTCAAAAGTTAGAGGCAGATTTCGAGAACAGATTTTCACCGGGGACAGCTGCAGTTACTGAACGATGACAACACTTCAGTTACTCCCCTATAACATGCTGTCTCGTTGATCCATATCGTGGAAAAAACGATCACATGAGGGATTTTCAAAGGGACGAGCCGCAACGAAGAACGAGAAACGGCAACGGCGGTGGTAACGACGGAATAACCGCAGCTGCGTCAACCGAGACGACACTAACGAACAACCGCAGCACCTAACCTAACCAACTGAACGCTGGACGACGAGGTTGGTTGTCTGCGATAACTGTAACCTGATAGTCGAGGAAAGATCCTCATCGGTCGTGAACGAAAGATTGATGGTCATCTCCTCATGTCGTACAGACCTGTAGATATATCGACCATCGTCAGGGGTCAAAGTGGAACATCGATTTTTTAACGTCCATGAATCATGCCTTACGCAGCGCCGGCGAAGAGGTATTGGCAAAATGCCAAAAAGA